TTATATTTAGTTGACCTCTTTTATGAGCCTGCTAGTTGTGTTTTTGAATTTTGTCTTTTGAACTTTTTTGAGGGTTAAAAGAAAGAAAACCCTTTTTTCCTGTGTCCTCTGTGCCTTGGCTGCTTGGTCCCTCACACTGAACAACCTGCAGGTGTTCCAAGGAGTTTCTGCTTAGACAAGTGAACAATGAATTTCAATAATCTACACATGATGAAAAAATGCATCAATAATAATCTCAGGTTCAGAGCATGACACAATGGGACTTAACTTGGCAAGTGAAAACAGAAAGAGCAAACTAGAGATTACACATAAACATCAAGAATGAACAAAGAGTCAAAATTCTAAGGTTCCTGATAGATGATTTACCAAATGTTGTAAGGGGACAAAGGAGCTACCTTTGGCAGTAATCTGTCAGGGCACACACAGGAACTTCTGTTTTTTCTTCATTAAGTTGCAGGAAATTGTCAGCCATCCAACTTTGAAGAGAGTCTAAGAACTTATTTTGGATTAGCAGCTTAGAAACATCTTGGGGTTAAAAAGAGATGTATATTTGAATTTCATCTGCATAGCAGTGATATTAAATGTCCTTAAAGGCGCTCAGAATATGCAGAAGAGGGAGCAGACATAATAGAAACAAGAAGAACCAAATGTGGCACACCATAGGTAAGAGAAATAGATGAGGAACTCTTACTCTCCTACTTAGAAAAGCCTTTTATGATCTGAACCAATGCAGAAGGTAAGGTACAACATCAGTAAAACAGAACATTCTTCTGCATCACTTTGAATCTAAATATTAAAATATCAGTATAGACCACTCTATCAGGAGCTGTTGCACGAGACTGTGACCTTTCAGCTTTTGGTACTGACAACACTACTTGCCCTGCAGAGAGGTGGTCAGTCTTTTTAATGTTAAGACAAACACTGCAGTCAGAAATGCCCATTTCAACTGCTGCTACAAGCAACTTTATTGAGTATTTAAAAAATGTAAATCAATTAACAAAGAAACGTGTCCACTGGTTCTACTATGAATTCAGTTGGGAGTCAACCAGACAGACTACACACAATTCCACTACCACACCAGTTTCCACCACAAAACTTCATAAACCCGCCGGCTGCTACCAGAAAACCCCAATGATAACAGCAGGACCAGGGTTAAAATCACTAACACAATATCTAAAGTGGACAATATGGGGGAAAAAAGAAGTTAAAAGTAGGGATGGGAAGTTCGAAACTAATGTTTCGAGACTGCATCAAGCTTCCGAAGCACAGATGTTTCAGTTCAATTTTATCTATACAGTGCCAAATCAGAACAGCAGTCCCATCAAGACGCTATATATTGAAAGGTAGACTCAGTAATAATATATACAACTAACTACCCAATATGACCCCCTATGAGCAAGCACAATGGCAACAGTAGGAAGGAATAACTCCGATTTGACAGGAAGTAACTGCCTGCAGAAGGGCCTGAAAACTGAAGGCTCTCCCTCCCACTCTACTTCTAAGCTCCCAGCAGCCTAAATCTATAGCAGCTTAAATAAGGGAGGATTTATGCTTACCTGATCCAGCCCTAACTATAAGCTTAATCAAAAAGGAAAATTTTAAGGCTCTTAAAGCTTAAAAGTAGAGACGGTGTCTGCATCCTGAATCTAAACAGGGGACTGTTTTCATAGAAGAGGGGCCTGAAAGCTTCGCCTCCCATTGCACTTTTAAATAATCTAGGAACACCAATAACCCCACAATCTGAGAGCAAAGTGCTCTAATGGGGTGATACGGTACAATAAGTTCATTAAGATAACATGAGGCCTGATTGTTCAAGACCTTGTATGTGAGGAGCAAGAATTCAGAATCCAGTTCTGGATTTAACAGGGAGCCAATGAAGAGAAGCCAGTACAGGAGAAATCTGCTCTCTCTTTCCTGTCAGGACTCTTGCTGCAGCATTTTGGATCAACTGAAGGCTTTTCAGGGAGTTTTTAGGACATCCTGATAATAATGAATTTCAGGAGTCCAGCCAAGAAGGAATAAATGCATGAACTAGTTTTTCAGCATCACTCTGAGACAGGATATTTCTAATTTTAGAGATGTTGTAAATAGAAGAAAGCAGTCCACCATATTTGTTTAGTATGTGCATTGAAAGAAATATCGAAAATTCGAAAAAGGTTCCTCACAGTGTTACTGGAAGCCAAGGTAATGCCATCCAGAGTACGAATCTGGTTATGTACCATATTTCATTGAGTTTTAGGGTCGGGTACAATAACCGCAGTTGTATAATTTATAATTTACAAGATTTCGAAACACTGCTCCAAAGCGTGGCTCAAAACGCTTCAGCCCACTTCTGACAGATGGCGTACCCGCTGCTTCTGGCCATTGCGAGGCGCCAGCATGATTTTTTTTAATGAACCACAGTCCTTTGTAATTACTGAATTAATGTTTGTGATACCGCTTACACGTGCATGATTAAAAGGAAGCAATACCCTCTTTTTGTTGTGGATTGTGAAGACCAATATCTGATCTGATCTGAATATCGGATCGCTTAAAGACTGGAATTCAAAGTGTAATCAAATAAATATTTAGAGATAATGTATAAGTATCTTATTCAGTGATTACTGTCATATAGATGAGAGAAAGCGAGAAAAACAGAGATTCGTTAAAATATCTGAATTTAAAAAAACGCCTCTGCTTTCAGTGAGGACATAAAACGGGAGGACTCTTCAGCTCTGACTGTTCTCTAGTTGTTTTCTACTTTCAACAGAAAATGTTATTTGCTGACGTATCAAGTGACATCATCCTCACTCTAACCCTTTACTCACAAACTGTGCTGCCATAAGGAATATATTTATACTGTATGTATACTGAAAATGTAGAAAAACACGTCCATTAATTACAGGCGAACTATTCCTTAACTATTTCCATGACAGATATTTTTTTCCTTTTCCCTCTTTTTTAAATTCCCACTGGTGCGAACATCTCATAAACAACAGGAAGCTGCAGGATCACTATAACCAAAACTGTAGGTTCAAGCATCATGCCAGTGTCACAGATACAGCATCCACAGCAGTGTGGAGTTACGGAAAGTTTCTTCATGGTTCAGAGGCTGCTCAGCAGAAGATGATCACACGAACTAGAAAACTTAAAAATCAACCAAACACATCCAGAGTTTGAGTCCAAAAGAAGCTGTAAACCAGTGTCGTTATTACGGTAAACACAGCAGTCTTTTCTCTGTATGTTTGACTTTATAAAACGAGTTACTTGGGGGGGGTTTTAACAGATGGAGATATTTGGGCTTGCTGTCTTTAACAGTCACAATATTTTTCTAGCCTTATTTCTGTGGCGATTTCTCCAAAACATAAAATGTAAATCAATAATACCAGAATTATTGAAATTCTGGTATTATACCAGTATATTATATATATTACTTTGTTTGGAATTGTGCTGTGCTTGTCTATTCTATTCAGTTTTATTTATACAGCGCCAAATCACAGCAACAGTCTCAAGGCGCTTTTTTTTCTCATATTTTTATTGAGAGACAAGTGTACATTAGTTTACAATGACAATACAATCTGTTCCCCTCACATATTTTTT